GGCATTTGATTTTGATTAACCAAAGTACACGAATTTAAGTAAAATACTTGAAAAGATATGATGAATAAAGAGTAAATACAGTTAATCGAAAATTGGCTTATGTTCTATAATTTTCTTTATATAACCGAGTGCAGGTTTGCTATATTAAACGAAAGTACAAGCAAGTTATCTCTATTTTTATTTGTATAGAGAGGGACAGATACGCATGGGTGGTATAATACCACAGCCTTGTAACATCTAAGCAAGATACGCTGTCGATCTGTTTTTTCTTTAGACATATAGTATTGAGAAAACGCTTTTAACGGGCTAAACTAAATATAATTTATTAATATTCGTCAGTTTGTTCTACAATCGTTTATTTTGAAGTTTGTTGGTTGCCCAATATAACACCTGCTTTTCCACTTGTGACTGTAATTTTATATAAGCCTTATTACATATACAATGAACATGCACATATACATATATGCATATAGGAACGTAAAATACAGTTATACGCCATTACCAAATGAAGCCTTACATAGGCTTATTCCATACAAAAATTTCCCTTCATACACTGGGCGTGAACTGTTTTTAACCACACCCCAACTTTTAATAAGATATACTTAGTTAAAACTATATTTATATAATTTAACTAGCTGTGCCCGTAACTTCGTCGTGCTAGAATTTTAATTTTGGGGATCAAAATTTTAATTTTTACTTCTTTTACATAATTAAATAAAACACTACCAGTAGGTATCTGAAACGTTAGGATAACTAAGCTAACTAATAGATATCTTGTTTGAAACAGTTAGTTAATTTATTTAAATGTAAACTACACGCGTAAACAGACATTACCTGTCGTGAGTAGTTGATATTTTATACTTTTGGAAACAAATCTTTTAAGGTGGTGGAGATAGCTTCTGTTACAGCCCGAAAGAATATCCATTGCTTGCAAGTTGAAAGCTTTATAAACCTTCGAAAGTACAATTTGTCACCACAATAGTATGCCACTCGTCTTGGGAGGTTTCGCCGCTCTGTAGGATTATCCTCATGGCGGAATACTTTGTAGCGACCGCACTATCACTTGCGCACAAAATGTCTTTACATCGGCGTCTCCGCTTACAAAACAAGCAATTATTTTCTACCTGATTAACTGAAAATAAACGACCTTTTGAATGTGAGTAGTCAATGGCTGCTGTTGGCTTAATGTAAGGTGCTCCGCTACGAGCGGTAAGCAGTCGGTTCGTGTTGATACCTAAATCTATATATATACTGATATATAAAGCTTAAGAGTTTGTTTGTTTGAACGCGCTAATCTCAGGAACTACGTGTTGGAATTGAAAAATTATTTTTGAGTTGGTTAGAACATTTATCGAGGAAGGCTATAACACGCTGTGACTAATAGAAGCGAAGATACAACGGGAAAAGTGAATAAAACGAGGGATTTTTTTCATCTCTGTGGGTTTCAACTAACTTAAGATAACTAAAAAATGTGTATGAAAGAATTAATCCCTTTTTAATTGAACTAAAAAAAAAGTCCGCGACATATACCGATGTATATCTTTTAAGATTAATTTGCAAGAACAAGAAGGGACACGACCGAAGTCGCGTAAGATAAGGAGGTTTGCAAATTTGGATACCCAAAATAACAATTCTACGCGGACGAAGTCGCTGACACAGCTAGTAAGATATAAATAGATATATGGAAGTAAACTTAAATGCGTAATTAAATAACAATATTATAAGAAGAACAAATCATTTTTTTATTTATGAAATTTAACGAAAATGTTTGTCTATTTTCAAGTCATTATTATATGTACGAATACATAATTGATAGGTAGGTACTTAGATCGTAATTATTATTATAATAGTTATATAATAAACTTCAGTGTTAATCATTATTATTCATGTTTAACTATGTAAAAATACAAATACTGTTGCAATAATACTAAGTATGTATATATGTATTAAAGTTTAAAAAAGTATTTCAATTATTCCTTAAGTAAGTTCGGTATTAAACTGTATTTAAGTATGTTTATAAATATATTTTCTACGTGCCTATTATGAACCATGTAATTTCTACAGCAAAAGCTACAATTACGAAACCTTCATTTCGCTTTATTGTTTTACAATAAAGAATAAATATTGTTCATTGATTCTAGTAAAATACGTGCAACATGTTCGTAATTAAAAGATAATTGTTAATGAATGATCTATATGCTTTTGTAAGGAAAAAAAGCAGTTCTCCGATTCGCCACTCCAAAGAATTCTTTGATGTAGAAAGTATCTTTGTAACATAAGCTTAATTATCAATTGAATATCTTGTAATGATGCCAAGTGTGGATCTCGGTAGCCCACAAAGCGGTGCTTCAAAGGTGGCGGTATATTTGATGTGCCACAAGTAAGTGCGGTCATGAGTAACTGTACTGGCTTTTTATCGATGCTATATATAATATATATAGCTGCTGGTACATAGTGGGTATGGGTTTTGTAAGGTTTACTCAATTATATTAGTTAGCTGTGTCAGTGACTTTGTCCGCGTTAGTTATTTTGAGTATCCAGATTTCCTAACCTCCTCTTCTTTACAAAATATCTCATAGACATATCAGCTTATCTTTAAACATTAACTTATTAACACTCGTGGACATTTTATAGATCGGAGAGATCTTAAACCGTTTTCGCAGCCGACGCAACGGAAACCAAAAGATTAATAATTTTTCATGTTTCCCACATTTTCCGCTATTTTTCCCGCTCCCATTAGTCGCATGCGATGTTTTAATGCCTTTAACTCTCCTCATTAATACAAAAATTATTTTTCATTCGCGACGAGTAGCTCCTGAGAATTGAGCGTTCAACCAAACAAACTTTTCAGTTTTATATATTAGTATAGCTAGATTATTTTTTACAGCCAAACTCAAAATTACAAAACAATGCAAAACGGCTTCAAAATCTATATGAGTATTTGGTTAAACCCAATTAAATCGTGTTGGTGATGATTTATTTTCGTAACATTCTTGAGATTCGTCGAGAGCACGTAGATTGGAGCCTCTCCTGACAGCGGGAGTTGAACCTCGGACCTCACTGTCACTGCTCATCCGGCGGTACCGATGGCAAAAAAATTACCTTCGTTAAAGATTTAGCAATAAATATTAGGAGTTCCGTAGTAGAAAGTAAAGTTATAATAGACTTAATTACTTTTTTAATTACATTGGAATAAAATATTCTTCAAATATGTAGTTAGTAAGTTACTTTGACATTATTATATTAAATATGATTAATTATATTTTTTTTATTTATATGTTCACTGTAACAGTTTAGAACGCGAAATATATAATAATATACTGTGTAACTAATGCTACTGCATCGCATCCGAAACGTCATATAATACTTAGTTAAAATAGTAAACTAAAACACCTAGTGTACAATAACTCGCCTAAACTAATCAACCCTTGAGTGTGATTCCTCACAAATTATGTTTATCGTATACCTTTTAAAGAAATGTCGTTTGTGTCGCTGTAATACATATTTTCAATTATATCTGTATCCATCAATAATTTATTTTCACAACACATACTTTTAGGTAAAAGGTTTTTATCATTCTTCATTCAATAAATGTTTCTACAAATTATTAGAACATAACCTTAACTTTTCTATATATGTATTAAATTATATTATTAGGTTAGTGTTTATTGCTTAAAGTTAAATAACATAATAGTTACGGTACATTTATTCGCCTGACAATAATTAATTATAACTTTCTATTACAGTTTTATAAATTTAAACCGTTTTGCCGACCGTACATGCGCACACGCATGGGAACGGGAGCTTGTCGAGCGCAGCGTGACGCCAATCTGTTGGGAGATCATCTCGCTGTCTGACAATCTCTGCCATACACAAACTTATCTACGTCCTTGTCACTTTGACTGGTACTGAGTGCAGGAAAACAAAGACATTACGAACGGGAATCGAACGGTAAGATATGAAATTGATATTATGTAAATTAGCCTTATATCCTCCTATATGTTATTTGTACGTATTTTTTTTTATAATAGAGTACAACAAGCTTGGTGTTCACTTGATAGGCGGTAAAATATCCCAGCCACATAACCTCTAAACGATCCATCCCATCCAAGAGACATCCTCCATCTTTAGTCTCCCCGTGACCACGGCTGCTGCAAAGCATCCAAAACGCCGGGCCGAAGTAAAAAATCATTTTCAAATAAGTTTGACTAATATATCGCGTTCTAAACCGTTCAAGTATGTTATTTAAATGTGTACTACGCGCTTAAACCATAGACAGTATATAAGATGAGAGAAGAGAAGAACAATTTTGGCTTTGGATATTTTATTGCTACTTGTTAAAAATCCTAAAATGAGTTAACATAAATGGAGATTAAAACCTCTTTAGCTTGACAGTTACATAGGGATGGAATGTAAGTTAAGTGAACGATAGACAATAGACAACAACTAGAAGTCTCACTTATACACATGGTAAAAAGCATTATAAACATCGAGTTAATTAAAACGGACATAAAAAAAATTACAAAAAGGTTACCATAATAGTGATTTGATTATGAATACAAAAAATCGATAATACCCAACCCTTGAGGTCGTTTGGATATTATAATCGATTTTTTTATCCTTGTGTCATCTGCGGCATCAACTACAGTATCTATAAGGTCATCACTGGCTCTCTATGGTTTGAAATCGGCCATATTTGATGTTATCTTCTCTTATGTTAGGAAAAATACATTATGCCTATGTCGTCATTTTAAAAGTATTTTTTTAAGTTTCGATAATAGTGCAAGGAAATAGTCCTAATAATACTATATTGAGTGTGCAACAGTTTATAAAATTAACGGACAACGTCGAAAAGGACAATTTTGATTCACAACGCATTCGAATCCCAGAACATCAACAAGAAGGAATGAAAACCTTTAGTAATTTTCAAAATAAAATTTCACACTTTAATTAAAGCGATTGAGACATAAGTTTATCAATGTTTAAAATAATTAGAAGGCCTATTTATCTTCCTTCTTCTGTTCAATAGCTTTCCCTTCATTCTTCAATTTCTTTTTCAATTCTTCGATCTGCTCCTTCTGTTTGTTATGGAAGAACATTTCTTCCTGAGCAGCGCCGTATGCTCCCAAACCACCTCCGGATTCTCTCACTGACCCGCCAGCACCACCGCCTTTACCAGCCCCACGTCCCAATAAATCACTTGGGTTACAATAACCCGCCATGGCGAGTTTTAAGCTCTTCTTCGCGGCATTTCCAAAGCCAGATTTTACTGTGGTATACTGTAAGCGATGCAACATATTTTTACGTTTTTATTTATATTATATTAATGACGTCTTATATCGATGTGTAGTGTGTCAAGTAGACAGGAGATTTTGTCAATGAAAATAAATATTACGTAAAAAGGTATCAAATGAGTTAGGAATTTTACAACACAATTCTATATGCAGAATACGAGATTGACGCTCGTTGCTCTAGATCGTTGGTCTAATGGTATCATAACCAGGTCACGGTTTCAATCACCATCGAATCCAAATTCTAAAACATGTTTGACTACGTCTAAAAGTCCAAATACTGTGGTAGATATATTTTTGAAAAATTGACCAAAATGAAGAAGGTTTAGCCTGTAGATTTCTCAATATCCAAAACCAAAACAGGGCGACAGCTTCTGGTTAAAATGTTATAGGGTTATTTCAACTTCCCATCACGTGATCTGTATTATTCTATCAAAAAAATGCTATAATATAATGATATATATAATGACAAAATAAGATGGGCCAATTCATTTAACATTCCATAACATACCAACATAGTCCTTGTTGGCCAATTTTCGTTTCATATCTACTGTTCAAAGTGTCAAATATACAAATACAAAATAAAATAAGTTTTTACTGTCGCAAAATAAAAATTGACGGAAATTAAGGACTAACGGCTGTTAGATTCTATTATAGTGTTTATTGTTAAGTAAAACTTTTACTAGTGGAACCCATTCGTATATTATTTCGTTTCCATGAAATAATTAGCACCTAGCAATATTTTAATTTTTACGACGTGTAACATTTTTTAAAGAATTTGTTAAGGCAATTTGTCTTAATAAACTTCACTAATTGTTTACATTGCATATAAATATGCGATTTGTTACATTTTTGTATGGATATCGATTCCATCTTCCGTCGAAGGGAAATGGATCTGAAAAAAGTAAGTTTTTCATTATTGTATTAATAGACGTTCATATCAACAAAAGTTAAATTTTCGATCATCAGTCTCAATCGTTAAATCTTAGCTAAATAAATCAAGCGAAATAATTATTCTAAACTTCAAATATCAAGCGTGGGGCATCACGTAAAATTGGCGTTCCGGGTAAAACAGAAGCTGAGTGGTGTTTCCACTTACATCTATTTTTTTTTATTTTATTGTATTTCTGTGTTTTTGAGTGAAATAAATGATTTATATAAAAAAATCGATGAACCGCGTGACTTAAACCGGCATTAACATCCGTATTACTCCTGTTATTTATTGAGCTACGCGTCAGAAATTACTAATAAATCGATTTTTTTCAGATATCCTTGTTTTTGGCCATCATAGCTTTATCGCGATCCGAGAGGTAAGGAAACTACTCTATATTCCACCGGCAACAATCCGGCTAGTGGTTAGTATATTCAATTATAGATAACGAGGTCTTGGATTCGAAATCTAGGTCAAGCGAAATGTCTATTCCTTATTTTAATTCTTCAGACAGTTACCGTGCTGTAAGCTGTCCCATTTACCATCGTTAATTAAGTAGGGGTAGTTGTTAAAGCCCCGCACTGATGCAGCTTTAAAACTTATTTCTATGGGAGAGGAGACGAGTAGCCAACAGCAGGACAAAAGCAGGTCAAAAAGAACAAAATAATTGTAACTATAAACACAGTCACTTTGTTTCAGCGAAAATGTGGCGAAAAACGAAATTCTTGGTAACGACGCAGACTTTGACGTAACACCGAGCGAACTCGTTTCGACGGCACCAAGTAGACGGTCCTTATCCCATTCCCTTCTAACGGACCAATGCGTTTGTATACCAAAGCCACATAACGCCAGAGAGATTGCCGACCTTTTAAACCCAGTACCAGGGAGCTATTATGAAAGACTAGTCGTCTACGTCTACAGGAACCCAGCAACGCAAGATGTAAAATTCTACATTCCGAGCGCTACGAAGCAGCAAGCTTTTCCCGATATCGCCATTGAGGCTGACGACGTACTAACACAAGTTAAAACAGGCGCGTTCAAACGCGTCTTCGACAGTATAACTACAGTCGTTCACTCTTGGGTTACTGTCGTAAACAATAACCCACAACCGCCACCGCCACACCATCAGACCGACGAGCATAATCGCTTCTTGATAGACATCAATTTCATCAACACTCTAGGTAAAGCTAAACTCAAGGGTATCCTGAAGTACTTAACTTTGTTTAAAAATACAAAACAGATACTTGGCACTTTAACAGGCGTAACATTGCAAGACAAACTAATACAACTGAAACGGTTATACCCGAAGATATTCACGCAGTTTGTCACAAAGATCTCCAAATTTTATCCAGTGTGGCTCAACCATGGAAGTATTCTACGCTTCAGACCAGGACACCTCAAAAACTTCCCGTATGACATAAACCTTATTCCCCTCTTTAAACGGAAAGCCAAAGTTATAAATGGGCTGCTGAAACCTCCCAAGAGAGTACAAGAAATAATGATATACACCCCAAAACAAACGGTAATACGCGAACTGTATCCTGAAATGAAGATTGGACTGAATATACCTTTTAAGAAATGGTTGAGTATTGTTGTGAAGGGTCTGAATAAACAACTTAAATTTGCTTCAAAAACAATAGACAGTGCCACGCTTGAAACATTCGTCCGCAGCGTTTTACAGAAGCGGGGAATTTCCATTAGTGGCAATCAAATGATTGTTTCAAATGGAAACACTATTGCTTCATCTAATATCGTTTTAAGACCAATACTTATTGGCGAAGCTGGGTTAGTCGGACAAGTCATTAATGATGGATTATTTAAAATACCCTCAGAAATTGTGTTTATCGAAGCGCTTCTAGTATCTGGGGGGAAATCTAAGAGCCTAGGAATCATACCGGTGTCCAATGTATTCGTTGGTTATCAGGAGGAGGTCATCTCGCAAACCACCACAGTCCAAGTTATAGAAACGGTAACAACTTGTGAAGGAGGACATTGTCAAACGAAGAAAGTGTGTAAGAACGTCAAGGGCCAAGAGGAGCCATGTAAAGATTTTTCTCAGGGGAGATCTGGTAAAGTTATACCTGTTTCGCGCAGAATAGTTAAAAACATACCAGATACTGCGATGCTCGATCGATCAGGCTCAAAATGTTCGCCATTTGGATGCAAAGTAAAGAAATGCAAGCATAAGCATAATTGTGAATATTTCTTTGACTACCCGTTAGCTGAAACTAAAATTGAAACCGATAATGTTCAAGAAGTATCTTTACCTAGTATTTTTGAGGAGCCTTACGTATTAGTAGGTAGGAGTGGAAAGTCCCATCACAGGCCAGCCGCGCTGGGGGAACATGGTAAGAGAAAATTACACCAAGTAACGCCGTTCAATTATAATGGCCACGTTAAAAAAGCAACACTTCCACGAGATATTTCATGGTATGGTAACGAGGCCGAACCCGAAGAGATTCAATCTCCAAAGTACGATGACGATGATGTACCCGGTATCAGAATTGTTGGAGGAAATGCAGCAACTATGAGTGGAACTCCAGTGAATAATAAAGGAAGGTCAGGCTACGAAGAATATGAATGGTAGTGGGTATTAAATATGTATCGAAATTATAATGTAACATGTATTTTATGTGTTTATATTTTTGTAGTAGTTTTACGAAGAACCTTATAACGATTAATTATATTTTTTATCGACAATGGCATGTAAAAGGATATCGTTTTTTGTTTTTCTTATTTATTATGTATTTTAATATATTATATTTGGGCAGCATTTTGTTTTTTTCTTTTTGATCTATAACAACGCTATCTGTTGTAAATTTACACAAATACTTATTATGCAAGATGTTTATTTAGTTCCCATTTATTTCTATAGATTATGCTTTTGTATGTAACTCAGCGCCATCTACCAATATATCTAAACACTATCTGTAGAATCACAGGCTGTTAATTAGTAAAACTAATTTTAAATCAGAGCCATCTATTGCTAATTATTGCCTTTATAAGGATTTTACTTTTTACCTTAATTTACAGTATCATATGGCAGATGGCGCTTATAACAATAAAAAAGTAAGTTTTATAGTAAAATATCTACAAAGCCTTTAATTGCAATAACGACGCTACTTTTGAAATATAATCGTTGACCAACGTAAACTTAGGCTTTCATGACTTTGTAGTGTAAACCTCCAATTGGCGTGATTGGTCTTCTTATAGCTTGACGGTAACTTAAGAGAAAAAAATCAAGTCGATCCAGTTTAAGTTTGAAGTTTAGTCAGTCACAGTCAGTGACCGAAGCGTCTCGTGAGGTTGTTTCTGCGCTAAAAATAAACCGCGTCTTGACAAGGACATAAACAGTTACGTTTTCTGTGTTAAAAAGTATGAAATTATTTTAAATTTCGCATAAATAACGTATTTCGTGTCTAAATGATGCTTCTTTGATTAACAAAAGTTTATCTTCTATTCACTGTGATTCGCAAAACGCATATTGTTTGTGATTAGGTCAACCTGTGCTTTGATATGGAAGGATGTTATTGACAATTCGAAACTAAATATCCTTGATATTGTTTTAATTAATGGGATTTAGTGACTGGTGAGTGAATATTTTATTTTGTCTTTTAGCTTATTTCAACCATTTTGCATTCATCTGGAGACTACTTAAATTGATTCTTATTCATTAGATTATGATACCTAAAAGTAACCTATAATTTATTTCATTTGTAATTTTGCTCCATTTGCGGTTGATCTAACTTTAAGTATCTTATTGGGATCGCATTTTGATATTAATCTTATTTGAATAGATATGTTTGCTTTCTGCAAGTTAATAGGTTATATTTTATAACGAGACGTTATATTGATCTCAACAATATGAAGATACCATTTTCGAACAATAGCGAAGAATCGAAGTTATTGACAAACTTATTAAAAAAATTGAAAAATAAACCCAGTAATTTATCAGTAACGATATAAGAAATAGATAAGTGGGTATTAATAAATTATCTAGAAATTACGTACAACTCAGTACCTAGGTTTTATTGATAAGTCTTTCTGGATAGGTTCGTACTTCCTAACTACTAACTAGTTACTATCGTTAGTCTTTACTATAATAGAGTCTAGCTCAGAACAATATGACAGCGTTTTAGGCGCCAAAATTTTTAATCAACTTGCAGATCTATTCTTCGTTATCTAAATAGCGAAAAAATATGTCGAAAAAGTATTTTTCGTTTTATCTCCGTTTTAGCACCAAATCTGTATTTGTAAACAGTGATACAAGAGTAACCACTCGACAGTCACCTTGTACTAACAAAAAAATATCCTCATAAAAGGCCACTTCTTGTTTAAAATCACGTCGCGTTATCTCACCGTTTTTTGTGTCCAAAGTGTTGCCAGGAAATAGGCTTATAATAAGTTTAATTACGTAGTATTGTTATTATTTATAAATCGAGGATTATATTGTATTAGGTTTCCAGTACATTTGTTATTATAATGAATAACATATCTATTATAATCGTTTGATTTTATATTCCTTTGAAAAATATATGAATAATTTTAACAGCTTTTTGTGGTCCGTGAGGGTAAAAAACCGGGCCCTTTTTACAAACGAAGTAACAACTAAACCGAAGATAGTTAGAGGTAATTTTCATAACTTCTATAAAATAAGTAACGACAAATACCAAAACAAGATAAAATTATCATCAGTTTAAAACTTCTATAACCATTTGTTTACAATTCAAAGGAGCGGAACCCTTCGTGTGCGATACCGACACGCACTTGGCAGGATTTTTGTTTGTATTAAGTAGTTCACGACCAACCCGATTCACACTGATAAACTCCAAATGGAGTATAGTTCCCTAAATAAACACATTTTCCCTGATTCCAACATTCCTAGCTTAAAGTATTTGTGTTTACAATCATTACAAATTATTTTACATAATTAGTTGTGAACTCTTGATTTATATCTATAGTCCAGTATATATTTATGTAAAGTTACATATTTTTTTCTACAATTTCTATTTACGGTCAACTGCGTGAAATACTTCGCTAATTACGCAATATTAATTTGTCATCGATAATTGATGTTGTGTTTGTTGTATAACTTATCAGAGATAGTATTTATTAGCAATACACTTAACATAATTAATAGTTAAACGTAATAGATTAATTATTACTTTCTGTTATGTAATTAAAATAAACATCAATACTTCTGGAAAGATTTTCTTTTTGAGATAATTTAAGATATATCTATACTAATATATATATATTGAAGAGTTTGTTTGTTTGAACGTACTAATCTTAGGAATTACTGGTTCGAATCGAAAAATTATTTTCATCGGGAAATATATTCATCTCTTTTATTGGTTAAAAAATGTTTGCGACAATATGTCTTTCTTTTAAGATTATCATGCAAGAACGACGGGACGTGGATAACAGCTTATTAATTAAAGAAACGGAGGTTTGCAAAAACATATTTGGATGTCCAAAATAACAATTCTACACGGACGAAGTCGCTGACACAGCTAGTTTGATACTTTCGCGTCGAAACGGCTTGTCCGATCCGACTCAATTAATGTGTAGTACTTATTTACATCAAAATGTTAGTTTTTGGCTTCCCGACAGTAAATTTCATTTAGAATTGCAAATTATTTGATCTTATAACTGTCTTAGATGTGTCACAGATTATAATATTAATGTTGATCGGGTTTTTTGTCCTTGGAGAAAATGTCAAATGGCACACCGTTTACATCAGCTGTGGTCTATTGTCTACAGTTAGTTTTCCGGTTCGCGAACTAGCTTTAACTATTACAAATCTATTATTATAGAAATTCTATTGATTAATTACAAAGGTCGTGATGACTTCGATTATACATTTACTATTTGAATAAATAATCGTGTAATGTTCAAGCACGAACTTAATAATAAAAAGGGAAACTCTTTTATTCATTACTAGCTGTGTCAGCGACTTCGTCCGCATAGAATAGTTATTTTGGGTACTCACATTTCTTTTTTCCAAACCTCCTCTTCGCCTTTAAAAATATAAACTGTTACGCACGTTGCGCGATCAGATTAACGCGTTGAAACATACAAAAGAACAAACAAAGTCTTTAGCTTTATATATTAGTATAGACTAGACACTTTTTTTACTATTCTTATCTACATTACAGATACAATTTATTCTGTTCTTTATTTTTGTTCGCCTACAAAAGCCCTACCTAATGCTAAACTAAAAAACCTTATCATCAAAGTTTGTGAACTAGTTCACTTGTTTTGGCGTAAAAGATTGGTCACACAACACAAACACTTTGATAAAGTGTCATGTTTTAAATTAAAAATCTTATTTACTTGACACATGTTAAACTAAGATTTTCTCTTATTCTCAAACCTACGACTTATCACTCTTTCAACCTTCATAAATAAGTACAAGAACGCAAAAGGATCCTCTTTGCGCAACCCAAAACCGGTATAGGTATATCTCCAATATATTCGCAAATCGACATCGCTGCTGCAACATAGCCATTACATGTAATCTATTATGTATATGTTTAAATAATATGTAAGGTACAACATATAGAATTTCCAAGAATCATAATGGATGCCAATTAATTAAAAAAAAATAATTAAATATTAAATTATATCGATTTGTTTTACAAAAATAAAATTGATTTTTTAAAACTCGATTACTATTCGATAGTTATTTTGGGGGGGAAAAAAAAAAAAAAATTTTTTTTAAAAAAAACTGCTACGCTAGCGCCACCTGTTCCGCCGTAGTTGGTATTTAGCATTTCGCCAAATACTAACTAAGTGGGGGATGATTAATATATTCGCGCCGTTGAAGTTTTTTTTTTAGTAAATAATTCAGGATCTAAACATGAAACTAAACTAAACATGGCGCCCGAGTTTACTCACTGATCACATCTGTTAATCAAACTGCATAACAAAGTGGACATCAAATCCTGAACTATCATGAATAATTGACCTCGCCTGATCTCGTGACAATTGTCGCTTCCTGTGAATCGCTCACTTGATCCTTTAACCTATATAGCTTCTTGACGGATGAACACAATCACAGTTCTCAATAAATCACTCTTCATAACGTGAAAGTTTGGTAAATGGGCCAAAATACTTTTTGATGCCTAAAAACCTGTCCCTGGAATTAACATTACATTTAATGCGAATCCGATACAAAATTGTGACAATAGTATAATCATTTTAAAATTTAACATTATTATCTAATACAAAACACATGATTTGAACTGAAATAATTGTTATTAATTGAAAATTTACAGTAACAAAGTTGCCATTTTTAGTAACGCAGCCGTTTTTCATACTAAATATCTATGTCCCTGAGCATGTGTGCCAAACTATACGGAACAATTTCTCAAAATATTTCCTAGGTGGCGGTTAATTATAGATGGTATAATAAAAATGCAAGGTTTGGACGTTATTAGAATGGCATTAGAAACGTTTTAAATTGAACATTTAATAAAATAAAAAATTAATGTATCTGTGTCCCCAACGAGTAACAATATCGTAGCTACCTTGCGTTACTGTATGAAAAAAGACTTTAAAATGATTGGATTAAGGTTACTTGCA